CCCCTCTTACAATGCTGTGATTGCTAGTATCACTCAGCCCTCTGTGAACAGTAAACAGCCATCAGTGTGCTAATGATCCATTGTTAGGCTGATGGTCCTTCTTGAGCATGTGATCAGCTGGTTTTGGTTGTCAGCAGCAAACTGGTTGATCCACTCTGAGAAGGTGCTATTTAAGAGACTGAGCTGAAAACAGCACCTCAGACTGAGGAAGTCTCTTGGATGAGAGACGAAACGTTTCTAGATTTCTTTTGCTTTGTTTTGCTTTTGTTTTTTTGAATGTCCAGAGGACCAGATTGAACTTTTTTGGATTTTTCTACCTGGATTATTGAGCATGCATCAGGACGACTGCTCTAACCACTCAGCCACAGCTGTCCCAGAGTGAATGGTTACTTGTCTCATTTGTCTCTATGTGTCCCTGTGATGGACTGGAGTGGAGACCTGTCCAGGGTGTCCTCTGCCTTTCACTTGTGGACTGCTCGAGATGGGCACCATCTTTGCCACAACCTGTAAAGTAAAAGTGGTTAAAGAAAATGGAAGGATGGAAAGATGGACGGATCACGGATGTTGTGCAGTTGTAATGAAAAGGAGATGATAGATAATTTACAACCTTTATTAAAGTAACTGGTAACACTTTACAGTAAGGTACACAAAATTTGCGTAACTACTAGGGAATGCCTAAGGAATCAGGAGCTAATGGGTAGTTAACCAGTACTTACTGTGGAACACACAGCCACGCCTTATTAGGGAACTACTGGTTTGTTACCACGGAAACAGAGAATAAATTATCCATGTGGGTTCTGACTCTGCACCAGTGAGGCCACAGCTTGTAACTGTCAAAAATCTGTTTCCTAGTGATTACTGATTTTATTACCCATTAGCTCCCGATTCGTTTCTCTTTGGTTTCTTTGGTAACTACCCATTAGTTCTTGATTAGTTCCTCTTCATTTACAAGGTAACTAAGCAGTAGACCTCTAATAAGGCTTGGCTGTGTGTTCCCCAGTAAGTACTGGTTAACTAGCTATTAGCTCCTGATTTGTTCCTGATTCGTTCCTGAGGCGTTCCCTAGTAGTTAAACACATTTTGTGTACCTTATTGTAAAGTGTTAGCAAGTAAGGGTGTAGATGCTACGCCATTACACAGTACTGTTGTCCAGTAACACCTGTATATTTCTCTGTATTTCCTTTCCTTCTGCCTGATGCTGACACAGCAGTGATGTCCACAACAAGAAGTGATAACACTGACAGAACACAACACAAACTCATTCGCTGTTGAAACCCAAGAACACAACGGTGTTCTGACAACAGAAACAAATCTAAATTTAAAAAGCAACATGTCAGATGGGTGTTTGGAATCCGGTCTACCAAAAGGCTGCACACAGTTCCAGTTCAGACACGTCCAATGAGTCATGATCACATGAGACATTAAATATCTGAGTCACAATTTAACAAACATTTATTTTCAAACAACAAACTATAAATTAGCTTCAGAATAACTCACCTTGTTCTGGTTGTGCAGTAAACGTTAAAGCTTCAGGGTCTCACACACAGATGCTACGGCACAGTTAAGAACATGTAAAGCCTATGAGGTCGTTCGATTCTTGTATGGAAACAAAAATGTTCGATGATGAGCCAGAGTCTGGCACTGACTGGGTGTGGTTTGGTCACATTATTCTACCGAAACGAAACTTAAAACTTTGTTTCAAAGCAGTTTTTTTCAGTTTCTGAGGCAAGAAAGACAAGACATTTGACATTTTGGACAGACTGTTTATTGGTATTAAGTTTGTTTCCTGCAGCAAACTGCTTTTATAAGAGTTAACATCATTATGTATTAATTTCAGATAAAAGTAAACTTTTTTTTTTGTCTTGTGTGTGCAAAATAATCTTGTGCAGTAAATATATATACCTGTCTTGTGTGTTTGCAGTCAGTATGAACTCCAGATGTTTCTTAGCTTAGCACAAGGCCTGGAAACATGTAATGAGTCAGATCTGTGACGATATTAGCTTAGCAGCAACATTAAAGCTCACAAAATGACATTTCCTGTTTGTTAAAACAATATTAGCCAAAGTCCTGGTTTGAACTGTTGAAATAAGATATTTGTACTGAATAAACAAACTTATCAAATATTACTGATTTAAAAAAATCTAGTGCATGTTTTGTGACATTAGAACTGTGCTTGAATACTTGTGTTAATAAAATATGTTATAAACTTTATTTTGAATGAACACACCAAAACCTCAGTTTGTTGTAGGATCGGACTGAGAAACAAAATAACACTGATCATAGTTGTTGGTTTCAAAAGTTATACTGACACATGAGTTAAAACTCTGTAAATGAACAAGTAAACTACCGTAATTTCCGGACTACTGAGCACACCTGAACATAAGCCACGCCCACTAAATTTTAAAAGAAAAAAACAATTGTACATCTATAGGCAGCACTAGTCTATAAGCCGCGGGTGTCCGCATTGTAACATGAGATACAGAAAGATTTTTTTAAACGCATAATTACATATGTACCGGTAACACACAAATACGTACAATTTTTTTTTTCTGAACGGTGTCTGTAATACGGCTGGTTAAACAAAAATGCAGTAGCCTACCAGGAAGTCATTGATCGCTATGTTTATCTTCCTCCTGAACACTTGAAAATGCAGCAGCCTTTCAAAACTTGTTGGTGATGGAGGATTTTTTTACACTGCTCCGCTGTCAGGATCCATTGGCAGACTTGAGGAAAAGTTGCTCTTCGCATGCGACCAGTTTTGGTGAACGATTTCTTGCCACTAGTCATCTAAGACTCCCTCTGAGCTCAGAGTGCCATTTTAAATGCACAGTTCACACTTATTTTGAGTTGGTTGTGCCCTCAGGAAGGCGTTTACTTCGTTTCCCCCCTCCCTGGGGGCACAACAACTGATCCACAGTGACCTGTTCGGTAATTTCAAAGGTCAGATTTTTTTTAAACCTTTATTTATGCAGGTAGTCTCAATGAGCCACGAGGACCGACCGCACAAGAGAGACGTGTATTAGGCAGCTATATGAGCACACAAGAGAGATGCTTTGGTGGCATGAAGCTCGTTAGCCCGTCAAAAAACAAATAAATCCATAAATTAGCCACAGCATTGTATAAGGGTGGAGTTCAAAGCCTGTGACTAAAGTAGCGGCTTATAGTCCGGAAACTACGGTAATATTTTCCTCAATATTAGGCTATACCAATAATGCATTTTGTGGTATATTATTTGTTTAATTTAACATCTTGTGAGAAGTTAGTTTGACTTCCACCATTTTTAATAATGTTATTTAATATAGGATTATTATAGGATTTTTACCTGGATTATTGAGCATGAACTTTGTTGTTTTGAACCAATTTGGCATGACTGTCTCAGCAAAAAAAGAAACCATCCAGATGACCTGACTGAGCATTGTTGGATTTTATAACTGTATTATTGAGCGTGGACGTTGCTCTTATATAATATAAACTATAAAAATGTACATAAACAATTTAAGACAGTGAGATGCTAAAGTTTTTTTGCTTTTGGTAATCTTTCTATTTTGTTGCATTCAAACCTGGATTTCTACAACAAGCAAGTGGTAGAAGGTGCTGTAGTTAGGTGACACTAAAGTTGAGCTTTTTGTCATCAAGGACAACACAGACTGATCAAACCTACTGCCTAGCTAAGAACGGCGTTCTCACAGCGAAGCATGGTGGTGGCAGTATCATGATGGGGAGTGGGTTAACATATTTGAACGCAACACTGTCGAGAGTTACGAATTTAAAATGTCTTGAAACATTTTTTTCCCTGTTTCACATCATTGGTAGGATTTTTTTTGTGTGTGTGTATGTAAAATTCTGTCATAATCAAAATAAAAATCTAAATAATGTTTGTGTTGAAATACAACAAATGGGAAAAATTATTAAAATAATTAAAAAACCCTTCGAGTTGATTCAGCTATCTCCTTTGCATCATTATTGCTTTGTGTGCAGTAGTTATTTTAATTTTCACAGTGATAGGCAGCGCATGACTGACTTTTAATCACCAGCAGGGCGGCTGTGGCTGAGTGGTTAGAGCAGTCGCTCTCCAATGGGAGAGTTGGGTGTTTGATTCCACCAGCAGTCACATGTTGACATGTCCCTGGGCAAGACACTGAACCCCTCATTACCTCTGATGTGTGTCCCATCGGTGTATGAATGTGATCTAAACACTGATTTGTCTCTATAGAATGATTTGTTTGATTATCTTCGTAGATATGTAGTAGAGTGCTGTATGAATGTGTATATGGAGGTAAATGAGAGCACAGATTGTGTTGTAAAGAGCTTTGAGTATCTTGATTAGATAGAAAGTGCTATATAAGTAAAGTCAGTTTACTTGTAAAAGTCCAGCCCTAACAAGGAGAACAAGTTCTAGTCTTATATTTTTACTAACGCTTCATCTTGAGCTCTATTTTCCTGCCACTAGGATGTTCAAAGAGATTTTGACTATGTATACCTAAACTCTGCATGCCACTGAACAATAATACATAAAACCATAGTTTAAGCTAAGGTGTGGGTACCACATATACGGTCCATTTGAGGGTTGTCGTTTTGACAGTCAGTCGTGTCTTCAGCTTTGCTTCTACAGGCTTTTCTCATGAACCGGACAGATCACCATGGTATCTGAGGCTTTGTCGCAGCAGTACAGGTAGAAGAATGGCAGAATCTTCTCGGTGAACGTTTCTTCAAATGTGTAAATATGGGTCTGCGCTTTCAAGTCGTAGAAAGAGACCTGCCCCTCCTCACAGTCCACATACACACCCACTTTCTTGAGCTTAGGGTCAAGGGAGAGAAGTAATGGTGGGGATGTTGACACTCGATACCCCTGGCCTTTCTTCATGGCCAGAGCCCAGTAGCCATGGGTTGCGCTCACAGAAATCCTGCCCTTCCTGTTTACAGAGGATCTGGCCACGCCTAAGTACCAATCATCCTTGTCCCCCACCTGGACCTCCCAGTAGTGTCTTCCTGAAGTGAAGCCGTCATGACCCAGAACGATGACCACGGTGTCAAATCGCTCAGGGTGGTCGGGGAGGTCCTGCCATGCCCCCAGATGCCTCACCTGGTGTCTGTCCTGAGAGAGCTGCAGCCAAGGATTAGCTGTGTCTGGGTCCAGGGTGATGTCCACTGCAAGAACATAAAGGATTGCTTTAGTTGGATTGTTTAAATAATAATAATAAGTATTTTTTATGCAACTACCTGAATACTTTTGAAGTTTTTTGATTTCTGTGAAAATCAAAAAGACATTTCTTTAATTTCACATTTACAATTTCACAGACATCATGTGTTCAGTAAAAATAAATAATTAAATAGGAAAGTGTTACCTACCACTTTCAGACAGTTTGTCAAGCATTTCTTTCAGTGTTGTCTCCAGTTTGGACACAGATCTTCGGATCAAACCAACACAAGTGTCAGTGGGAATTCTGGTTTCAGACCAGTCTTTAAAAGACGGAGTCGTGCAGAGGGAGGGGAAGCTCTGCAGAGAAAAATATCACGCATATATAAAACTTGATTACTAAATTAACAAGATTTTTTAATGCATGTTGTGGAACATTATTTTCACCTTTAGGAAGTGAATGTGATCAGTCCGAGCCATGTTTTCCAAGTCTGAGTGCCTCCTCTTCAGCTCCGAGATTTCCTGTTCCAGTTCGGTGATGAGGCCTTCGGCCCACCGTTCTGTCTGCCTTTGCTTCTCCTCAATGACCAAAACCAGCTCGGCCTGGGTCTTCTGGATTGAGCGCACCAGCTCTGAGAAGACTTGCATGCTTTCCTCAATCTCTTTTCTAGCACTGGCCTAAAGGACAAAACACACACGTTCTTTTTATATACATCAGTGTGTGCTTAAAAACCAGACACTCTCATGCTTGTATCTTTAATTTAGCTTAACCAAAAATTTAATTTACAATAAAGAACCCACAAAAAGTCACCACCTGCATCTTGCTGCAATGCTCTAAGTACTTTCCAATCAGGGTATTCCTGCTATTGTCCGCATCCCAAGACAATCTACTGCACTCTCACCATGTTCAGTCCATAGACGATGGCAATCCTACCACATTGGTTGAGGAATGCAATAGGCCTCAGACTCTTTCGAACTGCATCTAGACTCAAGGTAAGCACAACACCATCCCACTTATGGGGTTGTAGCCTGGGCATAAAGCCAACATGGCCAGTTTTGTTCCTGCTTCAAATTCCAAAAGTCTCGGCAAAGACCACGCCAAGACTCGGCAAAGGCCATCCCTGTTCTGGCTGAAACAAACATGACTCATCTGCTTTTCTCTACAGTTGAAGCAATTGATCCTAACATGAGCAGCAACTAATGTTTTAATTCCTTAAACAATAATTTGAGATAAAATCTCTCCCGTTAGGACAAGTTTCCTTTTGGGAGAAACGTTTCGTCTTTCATCCGAAAGACTTTCATCAGTCTGAGGCCTACCAACCCAGATCTGTCTTATAACCAGCACCTCCTTGATGTTTCAAGCCAGCCCTCTCTGGGATTCCCAGAAACTAGCTTTACACGTGCAAAAAAGGGACCATCTGTCCAAATACAAACCATCATAATTCATAGCAATCAAATGTCTTAGGCCTGATGGCTAACTTGCTACTCACAGAAACAGCTTGAGGACACCTGACTAAAATAGTTCAGACAAAGGCTTGAAAACTCAATCATCCAGGTAGATAAATCACAACAAAGGGTTAAATCATGTCATCTGGATAAGTTTATCTTTGGGGGAAATATTTAGTCTTTCAGCCGAAAGACTTAATCAGTCTGACGCCTGCCAAGATAGTCTCTGTGAATCCTACAGCAGTTTGGCTTGAAACGCTACAAGGAGGTGCTATTTATAAGACAGATCTGGTTGGCAGGCCTCGGACTGATGAAGTCTTTTGAATGAAAGACAAAACGTTTTTCCCAAACATGTCAAAATTGTTGTTGGGAGAGTTAACAAAATGTTTGAGTTAGTGACTTTTTTTAAGAGCAGGGCTGTAAATTTGATATGCAAATGCATGTACTCACTTTGTTGAGCTCCACAGAGTGTTTGATCTCCTCCACCTTTTTTATTCTGTCCACGACCATCTGTTGGACATCTATTTCTGTCTTTTTCAGCTGCGCCTGCACAACATAGGTTCACATAAAGTAGACTGTTGGTTTTACTAGCACCACTGCTAATGATACTTGTACTGTGTCCACAGAGTGGTATACGTAGCCTTTTAAAGTTTTTGAACATTTATGCAGCGCATACTTCAGGCTATGTATTTACCTGCAGAATTTTAAAATGCACTGTTCTTTTTTCTAAGTGTAATAATTGTTTCCATCCATTTTTTCTGATTCTGCAAAATGTGTAATTTTAGCAGAGGTCGGCGAACTTGGAACAAATGTTGCTGCGCTAATGAGTTTTGCTATTGTCTTCTATTGTTGTCTAAATGCTGTGTTCTATTAACTTTAGAAGTTGGAACTTGAATCTGAGAATGACATCGCATTCAACTTTACCATGTTTCAGTTGCAACTCGGAAAATTGGAGGGATTCACTCAATTTTGTGTTCATTGCTCATTCTAATAATTATTAACATTTCAATGGATTGCTCTGCCTTCTATGCATTTAATCATATTAGCTACATCCATCCATTATTTTTACCCGCTTCTTCCTTTTCGAGTCCCGGGAGTCACCGGTGCCCAAATCCAGCAGTCACTAAGAGGCAGGGGACACCCTGGACATGTATCTAGTCCATCACAGGGACACATAGAGACAAACAACCATTCACTCTCTCACTCACACCTAGAGACAATTTAGAGTTACCAATCAGTCTAACATGCATGTTTTTGGTCTGTGGGAGGAAACCGGAGTACCCAGAGAAAACCCACGCATGCACGGAGAGAACATGCAAACTCCACCCAGAAAGGCCCCCGGCTGGGATTCAATCTGTCGACCTTTTTGCTAAGAGGCAACCGTTCTATTAACTGATCCACTGTGCTGCCCATATTAGCAACACTTTTCCTAAACGATGTTGCATGTTACTGACATACATATTTTTTAAAAAGTGAAAAATGTAAAAAATTATTACTGCATCTATTACAAGTTTTATGCATGAGGCAGCCATGTGGGATTTTGTGGTTGGGGTTGGTCAGGAATTTACCACTTTCTAACTTAGGTTGTTTTCACACCTGATAGTCCGGTAGACTCGGTTCGGTTGGGGACCAATATTCATGACCTTTTGTTTACATTTGAGCTGGTGCGTTTGCATTCACACTGCACTGTGCAGTCGAGTCAACCTGTTGAACCAACCTATTCCCCCACTCGCCTGTGGGGGCGCTGCACCAAGAACTACTGAAAGAAATGACACAAAAACCTCTGGAGACACGTCTTCTTCTGGAAATAAAAACAAAAACGGAGTGGCGTCAAGTCTTAGCGGTTTTAGGAGTTATATTTTGTCATTTTTCAAAAATGGACTTAGCATGAGCAGAAGATGAGACAGAAGACCATGGAGAATGTTGTTTTTCCACACAAGGCAGCTGACGGCTCCATATGAGGTAAGAGAAATGTGTGTTTGTTTGCCCTGCGTTGTAGTCCACTTCCTGCTTGCGGAGCGTTGCCCGATCTGCTTAGATTCACACTGTATTTGAACCGCGCTCGAGTTCTATTCTACCGGACCGAGACCTAGGTTTTAGCCCGGGCCAGAGTTCGCCTTTTTGTTCAGTGACAGAGTTTGATGGCGAGTTCACACCTCCCCAAAAGAACTGGACTTCCTAGGCAAACGGGCTAGAGTTCGGCACAACAGGGCTGGTGTGAATGCACCCTTAGTGAGCTGTTCCTACTAATTTTTATGACTTAAAATTCAGAAATTCTAACTCCATTTTTAAAATTAATGCAGATGGGAACATAAACTCAACTGAACCAACGTGAACTCAGAAGGATGCAGCTTTCATGAACTTTCTCTCTGTACAAATGAATGGTAGTGAACGTGTCTCACCTTTTTCTCAGTCCATTCTCTCTCCACAGGGACCGTGTAGTGAGCCCTGTGGTCCGTCTCAGTGCAGAGGACGCACACACATGTCTGATCTTTCTTACAGAACAGCTCCAGGAGTCGTTCGTGCTTGGGACACATTCTGTCCTCCATATTTGCAACAGGTTCGATCAGCTTGTGCTTGGTGAACCTGGCGGCATGAGATTTGAGATGCTCCTCACAGAAGGAGGTCAGACACACGAGGCAGGATTTAACAGCTTTCGGTCGGCCCTCCCCTAAGCACACATCACACAGGACCTCCTCCCATGATGGTGGGGGTGAAGAGGAAAGAGATGAAGGTAAGGTTTGAGGCGATGGTGGAGGTGATGTTTCAGTCAGTGGTGGAGCTTGTGCTTGAGCTTGGGGTGATGGTGGAGGAGAGCTTTTAGGTGCCAACACTGGAGGGATTAACGAAGGCAACTCCTCTCCTTGGTTCTCCTTCAACCCTTGTTTCTTTTTCTTCTCCTCCTTTTGGTTTTCTTTCAACTCCTCCAGAAGTTGCTGCTTCTGGTTTTTCTCCAACAGCCTCTCCTCATCCTCTTTGGTCCTTCTCTCCATTATACACTTCTTTGCTTTCACTCCTTCTTCACCACTTTCCTTCACTTCTGTGGTCTTAATCTTAATCTGCTTGAACTGCTCTGCGATCTCCCTCAACACCGTGTTCACACTGATATCAGGCCTCTTTTGGAAGGACTTCTTGCACATGGGACACTGATACAACGGGCTGGTTTTCCAATATCCCAGGATACAGCTCTGGCAGAAGTTGTGCCCACAGGGGATGGAGACGGGGTTGGTGAAGACGTCCAGACAGATGGAGCAGTGCACCTGCTCTTCAGAAAGGTTCCCAGTGGTGGCCATTCCTACACGGCGGAGAGGCAGGGTCATTTTCAGCACAAGCAAGCAGCCTTTGAGCGGGGCATCAAACCTGCTGTGATATTGAGGTTGCCACAGTTAGACTGCATGATGGTTTAGAAGGTTCATGCAAAACTACTAAATAAGACATCAGACTCAAACATTGTCAAATATTTGTAAAAATTGTTCTGTGAATTAAGAAATATTCTTTATTAAAGTAAGTTCTCTTAGAAAATATTGAGTCCTGCGGTGGTTTACATGTTTATTTTTTTAATGATTGGTGATTGTTACCTTGAACACTTTTTTCTTTGAAGTTGATGCAAGTGAATGTTTGACAACAATATTAAGAAAATAATTTTAAAAACTTTAACTAAAATTCTTACATTGCAGATCTTATTGTTCCATATTTTCTTAACAAACTACTTCACTCTCAGACTGCAGGTTTACTTGTTGTTCCTAGAGTTTCCAAAAGTGGGATGGGCGGAATATATTTCAGTTATCAGGCTCCTCTCTTGTGGAACTAACCCAGTTTATGTCTGTAAGGCTGACACATTGTCCAGTTTTAAGACTGGGCTTACGTTTGGTTTTTTTTTTTATCCTATAGTTAGGGTCAGCTTGGGTTTCCTGAGCTATTCCTTAGTTATGCTGCTATAGGCTTAGACTGGTGGAGGACAACTTGACCACATTTCCTCACTCTGCTGCTGTATTTACTTGCTCTAAATGTTTGTATTTATAACTATTTCTATCCTTAACATGGTTTTTGTGTTTCCTCCTATAGAAAGTAAACATGGACCTGCCATTCTATGACATTCTATGTCTCTCCTTCCTGTCCTCTCAAACCCAACCAGTTGAAGCAGATGGCCACTTGTCCTGAGCCTGGTTCTGGTGGAGGTTTCTTCCTGTTAAAAACGAGTTTTTCCTTTCCACTGTCGCTTTTGTTCTTGCTCAGGATGGGAGACTGTGATGAAGTGAAGATTCAATGAGTCTGCTGCTTCCTTAGATAGAGAACTTTACTAAATGGCTTTTCTTTGTGAATGTTTCTGTTCAGTGCCTTGAGACAACTTCTGTTGTGACTTGGCGCTTCATAATTAAACTGGATTGAATAAAATTCTGGACAATTTCAAAAACAATGACCAAAGATTTCACTTAATTTGAGGTTTTAAAATGAACTGACACATGCAAATTTCTGCGTTTACTGCACAAAGAAACTCATATCAAATAAATTAAATGACTTCCCCAAAATTACATACAGTGTTATATAATGTAAACATTTTTTTATGTAGGTAAACAACTGTCATTATTTATTAGTTTGTCCCATGCTAACAAGCTAACAGCTAGTCAGAGTGTGGGTCAAAGTACATTTCTGTCTAAAACAACTAAAATCTAAAATGTTTTAAAAGTTAATGCACTTCCTATGCAGCCTGAGATATTTTTGAGGGGGAGAAAATTTAAATATTTCTACTAGAATAACAGTTTAATCTGAAACTGACAGCAGTGTAAAGGTTTCTGTTTGCATGAATCATTTTAAAAAAACATTTAAATGAGAGTTTTTAAAGATGGCAGCAACCAGTTTGTTCTCGGACCCTGTCAGACCAGCTGCTGGCTCTGGTCAAAGATAAGCATTTTCTCCCAACTGAGGATGTTCAGAGTTCATAAGTTTTAACAGAACCCCACTTTGAAGCGGGGGAATGTGAAGTATTTGTAGGAGTTGTGGTTTTGTCCCTGGTGCTTTGTTTATGTATGTGTTCCCCTGATCCTCTGTGTCTATCTTTATAGTTCAGGTTCAGGTCTCTCCTGTAAATGAGTCCCGGAGGCTCAATGGGATTAACCTGTATAAATAATGGTTGAATGAAAAGGGTTTGTGTTTCTTTAGTATCTAGCCCCATCTTGTGCCGTGTTTATGTCTTGCATCCCTTGTTTTTTCTTTGGCACCTGTGATTACTCACAGGTGCCTTCACTTTGTCTAATTGGTGTTTCCTGTATATAAGTCTTTGTCTCTGTGTTAGTCCATGTCCTGGCATTGTTTTCTGTCCACTGGCGAAGACCTAGCTGTTTCATAAATACATCCTGATCATTCTGTTTGTTTTGCCGCCCTGTCAGCTCTTTGTTTTGTTAATAATTTTTTTATTTTACATATACATATATACATATACATATATATATATATATATATATATATGTGTATATATATATATATACATATATATGTATATATATATATATATATATACATATATATGTATATATATATATATATATGTATAT